TTATTGAGTGTTTCCACTTATCGTGATCACACTGTATATATAGGTTTTGCATATTCATAATTATCTAGTAGAACCGCTGACGCTATGGAATTTTGTTAGTGGTTTCATTTTATGATGTAAATATAACTTAAGACCCACTAAGAAAGGATTGTCCAAAATGTTCATTTTGAAAAGGTCTTCAGACAAGAATTTCGAGATTTACAGTTAAAATTAAATTATTTATGTGATAAGTTCTCATAGGTTACAAGTTAAAAATCAGTATTTTTTTTTTATATAATATAGAAATGGTTGGCATTTGTGACTCGGAGATATTAAGTACAAGCATGAATTAAATCAAAATGCTATAAAGTTTGAGTCCTGTAGAGAAACAGTTAGTACCTTAGTACCTATGTATGTTATATTAAAGTAAAATCTCTTTTTAAGGAGCCCCTAATAGGACAAAAATCTCTATAAAACGGAGTATAAAAACAGCCTCTTATAACCTTCATTTCGCATATTTTAGTCTCCCTTTAAACGAAACTCTTTTATAAAAGAAAAATCAGTCGGCATCGAGTGATTTTTCATAAAAAGATTTTACTGCATTTGAGCAAATGGGGCGCAGCCGCGCAGGTGAGTTTTACGTAATAATAATAATACGTAGCGGATATGGATGAGTTGCTGTGTTGTTCCGGCAACGTATCGACGTGTTAAATATCTACTTGTGGACTCGACTGAATGCAATCGAACAAGAAATGATTTATTAAGCACAACAGGATACCGGAAGCGAACGTCCCGCCCCTGCGTGCGTTTTCACTTGTAAAACGTGTTAAACGGCGATGGTGTTAGATATTAAGTATTGCGTTATTATTATTAAGGACTGAAATATGTTATATTTGAGAAATTTCGACGAATAAAACACAATTTTTCGTTTATTTTTTTTTTTTTTTTCTAGGAAACGCTACTGAGGATTGGTAGATATTCTTTAGAAATGCGTACTTATACAATATGATATTTCGTTAAAACACAATAATTATAACAGTAGTTTATTATAAAATTTTTATAGTTACTACTGTTGAATAAACAAATAATTGTGTACCTAACGGTTTTATTGAACGAAAATGTATATTAATAAATAAGTATTCAAAATTAGGTACTAAAATATAAAGTTCTTCAAAATTGTTTTTAAAATGAACCTGATTAGACTTATAGTATGTTCATTGGACAGTAAAAAAATTCGTTTTGAAACCGAGAATTTATCACGCTCACTGAACGAACTTTCTTAACTTATTTAAATTTTATAAATAATGCATGAATAGGACATAACAAAATCACTTAGATTTTTTTTTTTGATTCTCCATTGAAATTATGATTGAAAATTTTCCGTAATTGTATCTAATAAAGTAATTAAACAAGAAAATTAGTTCACAATTTGTGAATACTATTTACATTAGGTTCCTGTTTAAGCTGTTTGATGATGTTTTATAATTTTTTATTATTTTTATTAATTACTACTATTAACATTTAGTGTGAACCAGGGTTCTAAAACAATAGACGATGAACAATAGATTGTGGTAAAAAAATTGTTTTTGGTGATTTTAAAATTGTACAAAAATTGGTAATTATTTCATACCTAATTAAAATTTTTATCGTAAATATCTTGTTTTTGTTATTTTGAATTCAAAGATAATATATAAGTTGTAAATTATTTTGTAGATGTATTTATGTGAATATTTTCGAGTTTTTGTACTTTCATCTTTTTTTATAAAAAAAAAAGGTTAATATTGTATATCAATTAAAAACCGACGGGCATTTTGCGAGGGGTGACATTGAATTTGATTAATCGTTTTAACACTTAACTGTCACATTTTACATGGTTGACAATTACCCTGAATCCTCCATACAGACCTAAAAACATTTAAACTACCAAACATAATGATATTAATAATAAATTATGATATTAATATAATTAATATAATAATTATAAATAATATGTCACATTAATTATATAATTTCAGAAGTTTTGAACTAATGAAGTATCGGTCAGGTTATCATCGAAGTAGGAATCATGAATGAAAGCCATTATGATTTTTTTTTTACTTTGTTTTTGACGTTCAGTATAATTATTATTTATTCGGTTGTACCTTGAAGGTTATACTTTTGTTTAATAGCTCGATATAATGATATTTGTATTTAAAAAGAATTTGAAATAGAAAAAAAATATTTAAAAATTAAAAATAAAGCAATCAAAAAAATTATTCAATAAAATAATTTGTGTTTAATACAAAAAAAAATATATATATATGTATAGGTATACATCAAAAATTAAAAAATGCAGAATTAAATCATACAAAATAGGTAGATACTTTAAAAAGTACAACGCTTGGACGTTATTTTTTCCAAGTTTTTTTTCTTCATAAATAGTAATTTTACTGTACATAGGTTAAAAAACTAACAATTTTAAATAACTTTAAATAAATAAATTAATGTCTATAAAAATCCCAGTGTACTAGGATATTTCTACTTGTGATCTCCCAAATTACAAATTAAATACATTTTGTTACTAGAAATAAGTTATAATATAATGAAAACAAAAATACACATTATTATAAACCAACCCATATATCCCACAATATTCGAAAAGTATGCGATTCTATAGAATATCGATTATTTACAACTAAACTTTAAATTATACAGTGTTGGTATATACATATTATTATATCCATTCAAAATAACCGCGCCTTTTAAAAAATATATGAGTTGATATTGTATTAGGTTTCACTCACCTTTTTATCGTTTATGAACCACGTGAGATTGGTGGCTGGAAACGCCGAATAAGAAGTGCAATTTATGTTTACAGGTTCGTCCTTGATGTACTTGAGCTTACCGGCAAACATAAGTGGCGGTGTCTTTGGTTCTTCTGTAAAAAACAAAAAAACCAAAAAACCATGACGTTTATTGCAAAATGTATTTAAAATTGTCGAGTTGTCAACATGATGCCTATTTAAACGTGATTATTTCTGTAATAATCATTATAAATTATAATTTAATCGTATTTTAATATTTTATGTAACAGACTAGCAGATATCGATACTTGATGAGTTATTGAACTATTTTTTTTCTTTACAATCAATTTACAATCTTTATCATTAATGATTAGATATCAAATTTGATACAACTCAGCGACGGTAGTAGCGTAAAACTAAGAAAAAAAAATTGTATGGTAGCCACTAACGTATAATTACAGGAATTCAAGTTATACCATTGAAGTACCAAGCTAATCTTTGTTAATCTATCGGCCAACTCTACAGGGCAAATGGCAGAACATATAAAGTCGTATAAGGTATCAATCGATCAGAAATATTGTGTAGATGAGAACAGAGGAACTCACAGGCAGATTGGCCAAATGGTTTATAAGTTATGACTTATAACTTACAACCAATAATGTTCAAGTATTTTTAAGACCAATTTCGCGTAAAATGTATGTACCCCAATCTGCCTCTTTACCTAACGTCCATCCCTCTTACTCTTATCACGGCGGTGGCGACGGCGACAACGACGTACGGCAATTGGCGGTCTCTCGGATGCTGGTCGCCGGAAATAGTAAAAAAAAGCTAATATCACACCAAAATAATTTAATGTAAAAAAAAAAAACTAAGTTAAAAAAAGATAAATTTAGTAATGATTAAATCTTTAAAAGACGTGATATAATATGGAAACTAAACAAAATGGCATTTTATAATATTAAAATATGACGACAAATAAGATAAATTGTAATGTTAAATATTTAGTCAATATAATATTGTTTATACATTATTAACCATAAAAATACTATAGGGGTTACTTATTTGTAATTTTTAGGCAGGTATACTTCTACATCCTGCCAAATAGTTAAACAATATGTTGACTAAGTATTTGACATTACAATTGATCTTATTTATCGTCATAGCCCATAGGTATTTGTAATATTATTAAATGGAATTTTGCTTAGTTTCCTTATTATATCACGTCTTTTAAAGATTTAATCATTACTAAATTTATTTATTTTTAACTTAGCTTTTTTTTTACACGATGTGTTTTTAGTATGATAAGAATATAAGTACGTCGAAAGTAACAAATATGACTGGCTTACATTATCTTGTTGAAAAAAGCCTCTCACTGATGACACTTCATAAGACTATAAAAGTTGTTGAACCAAAACATTAAAATAATTATTGTTAATATCCAGATTATAAAATACAGAGAAAAAAAAGATAAGAATTCTTCAACTTCAATATTTTAATAGTACTGGTTTAGAATTCTGAGAGTATTAAATAATATTTCTATTTATGTTTTGGTCACGATTCACGAGTTACACTGACATTTTACGGTTCCGACAACGGTATTTTCAGTATAACGGTACCAATCAGTAACAGTAATAATATAAATATTATAATATTATTAGTACTTACCAATTATAGTTATATACGACTCTTTGATTTGCGTGTGAAATAGTGGAGCGTCCGCGGAAATTTCGCATTTATAGTGTCCTGACATGTCCCGAGGTAGGTTAGTCAATGTTACTGAGTGGTCGTCTGACTCAGATATCTAAACACGCGTAAACAAAAAAAAACAAAAAAAATCTATTTATAAAATATTTTAACTTTCAGAACAGTTCATAGTAAAATTCTGCGTGTGAATGGACCAGATCAGCTACATAGTTAGTGCAGTAAACATTATTTATATCTGCACAAGAGACTTAGTAGGATGACGGTATAATGTACAATTCGCGAGGAGTGCATTCGTAATAAGCCACCTAATAAGGCATATAAATATCAAAGTATCCAGTGACGAAATGTCTATTGGAGTATAAAAGGAAACTTTTAGTTATGTTATATTATAACATAGTAGAACGGTACACATTGTAATAACAATTTTTAAGATCTTATAATTTTGGAAATCTATAAATTATAATGCAATTAAGGTATTGAAGTGTAATACATTTTTTACTGCACTATCGAATTTAATTAAGGGAACTGATTTTTTTCAAAGTAAAACAATATTATAATATATTATATAGTAGAGCACTTGTGATGGGTCAGTATATTTTTGTAATTGCTGCTCATCATCAATAATTTTTGTAGGTGTTAACGATATATTTGGAATGAAAAATATTGACGAGTTCACTGTGGATCGCGATAACAGTAGTCCGACGTCACTCCGATGATAAGGAATTTCTAAACAAAATTAACGGAAATTTCGTAAAGTTGTTATGTTACATATTATACGGTTTACCTATTTACAATTTTATTACCCACCGATGGAAAAAGGTCGAAGGTCTGGCGAATCCATTTAATTATAAACGTCAAAAGAAGCACAATAATGACTGCAGGAATTTCGTTTTTTGTGTTCAAAGATCCACAAACATTATTATGATCATACATGGAAAATAACCCAAAACAGTCGTAACTGAAGGTTCACGTATAAAGATCCTTGGGGGACTGTATATGAGATGGATAAACTTTGCAGTTATTTGCTTCGAGTCTAACATTCATTCCTCCGAAGGACTAAAGTTTTATTCGTTGCACGATATTATATAATTTACGATTATTCTACATAGATATATCAACTATAGTTATTGTTTGCGTTTATATAAAATATTTATTATTTATATACTATTCTGTAATATAAATGTGTGTGTGTCATATATAAGTAAACCAGCTGATTGATAGATCTGTGATTGATAATTTTTAGCCGATCTTTTTGAGGAAAAAAATACCTTTCAAAATTGTAAATTACTTAATTAATTCATCGAATTCATTGTATGCCATAGTAACATAATACGATATAATATATTTAAGTTTATTAATTACCTACACATTGGCTAAACTTATTTTAGTATCATATTTCTTTATAGGATTAATACCGTATGGTACAGTAAAACAGTTGTGACAAATATATAACATTGAGTATATTAGGTAACATAATCTATGTTGTAATATTATTATACTCACGTCAACCGATGTTGTACCGGACAGTGGGAAAACCCTAGTCGGTGGTGACTCTTTTGGCACGAATCTGTAGAACTCTTGGTCTCCAAAGTACCATTTTATTGAGTACAATGGCACCCCCTCGAGATCGTAGTCACAAGATAGCCGCAACAGCTCACCCGCTCGGATGGCTTCAGGATTCCAAATTCGGACGCCTTTTAAGCCGAACACCGCGTCTGAAAACGAAAAAATCACTGATGAAATATTTTTTCTAGATTATACTTTATCTTGATTATGCTGTAATAAGTAATATTGTGTAATATTTGGCTTAGGCATATTTAGTCGATTATCTAACCATAATGGTTATAAATAGTTATAAACCAAGTTAAGGGCTTTCTGCCACAAACAACCTTAAAATAAGTATGTATTTATGTCCTAAAATATATACAGTTGCTATAATGTAATTTTATTGAGCTATTATAAAAATTTCGATAAAAAAAAAATAATAATATTAAATTGTTATGTTTATTGAACATCGATATTATATTATGGTAGTGTACGGTACAAATTTACCGAACCGTTATAAATGGTTTTTTTTTCGAAATACAGTGTGATATGGATTCTTTGTAACTGCAATTTAACAAGCAAAAAATTCAAAAAATTTAAGATTATCATAATTTATTTTGAGGTAGGCAGGAATTTATTTAACCCACCTAATGATATATTATTATAGAAATCACAAAAAAAAAACAAACAAACATTTTGTCAAATTCAAATTAAACAAAAATCCTTTTTATTTATTTAATATCAATAATAAATTACAGGATTATATAATATTATAATACACATATTTTGATGGGAATACGTTTCCGAAAAAAAAAAACAAAGGTCCACAAAACAAAACAAATTCGATACAATATATAATATGCAATCGCGGCATGTACAACATATTATATAATATAATATATGTTTAAGGTTCATCGTATACTTCTGTATACCATAAATGTACGTATTGTTATTGTACACATTGTAATATCAAAACTTTGAAATATTAGTCGGTTGTTTATTATTATATCCGTATGCGTGTACATAATATACGTACCGTGAGTTACCGTGAGTAATATATCACACGCTTGTATCAACGGTTGTAGTATATGCTGAGTGATTATTTTATAGTAGAACATGTCGATAACCTTTATATTTAATTTAGAACCTGACAGTTAAGACAGGTTGTTTGAATTCACACATTCCGAATAAACTGCGATGGTATGTACATAATATAGGTACCTACTCGTAGATAATTTTCCTGATAATTCTTCTTTTGTTTAAATAATAAATCACGTGGTGCAAACAGTTTTATTGTGTATTCTTCTGGCTTGGATATTTTATAAGACTGACTTTCGCCCAGCAGTAGTAGTATTTATAATAACTACAATAATTTACATAAAAAAAGACGTGCACAATGTCAACCAAATTGTATTGTCTATTGGATACGTAAAAATGATTATAAAAAAGTAGAATTATTAAAATTAAACGTTGAACCATTTGTTTAATCGAAGTATAATACATATTATCCGCAACTATTGTATAGTGCATTATATGAAATTTTGCGTGTGTAGATGACAGCATTGATACTGCTATTGTTTGAATAACGTATTACAATATTATACAAATATTTTATTACCACAATTTTTCTCTAATTTAAGATATGGCAGTTGGTTCCTATAAGCGGTTCCGGAAGAATTTGGTAAACAATTTTAAGGCCAGTAAACTAAAAATCTAATAAAATTCAAATTACATAMGTGAAAAAAATTTAACTGAAATTATAATTCTAGCTCTAAAGAGGCAAATAATGAAATAAAAAATATTCGACAGGGTATTGTTTTTAAAAAACAAAAAAGAATCTTTAAAAACAGTTTGTGATGAATTCAGCATTACAATATGGTGTATTTATGATAACTTTAAATTTGTTTGCAGTAAGATTTGAAATTTTGTAACATTTATTTACATTAAAATAATATTAAAACAGAAAATTAAAAAAAAAATGAATAATTTTAGTAAAAATATAATACATTTTACACTATAAGTTTTTTCTAGAAACATTGAATTATTGTTGCTGAAAGTTAAAAAAATGTCACAACAGAAAGTTGGTTCTTGATGTAGATAATATACCATGAAAAATTGAATTTGAGAAAAACTTCACAATATAAGATATACTCAGGCTATTTATTAAACTGTTTATAAGTAAAATTAAAATTCTGACAGTGATTAACATCGGTATAGTAATATTCGTGACACAGATTTTATATCACATTAATCTTCAGGAAAACAATAATGATGCAAGTGGTGCAATGAATAATTATTTATGGATTCAAGGGATATGATAAACCTGCAAAAGGGTATATTATAAGAGTCCTGGGAGGATGTGTTTTGTTCTGTAGGTACCTCAAACCCGTGGTATGGTAATATATTTTACAGATTATTCTACTTTATACACACTCATATCAATTGTGTCACGTGTGTATAGTGTATACAAATGGCCATCATTGACTATCATTCCTTATGTCTATGTAATTAAATTGTCATTATTGTTTTGGTTAGACAAAATATGTATGCAATGTAGATACCTATAGCAGTGATTTATTACGAATATTTCTTACGATAAAAATAAGAGAATACAAATACAACTCAACAATCTGAATATAATACAATAATACCGTAAATCTTTTTTTCCTTCAAAATATTATTTGAAAAAAAAAATACTTAATATAATATATAGATATTTTTTGATTGTTTAAACGTTGAATAATTTATTTACATAAATACGGACAAAATTTATTAAATTCGAGATATCGTTTAATAGCCGCCTACACGTCGATGTACCGAAATTGCCTACACGAAGTGCCGTGAATAGAATATACACACGATCACAAATCATGGTCGTATTTCGTTTTTATAGTGCATACATTTAATGTAATAGATATTGTTATTATTTATGTAATATGAAACTCAATATATTAAAAATTTGCAATTTCGACTATAAATATTGTTTACAATAAATAAATAAATAAATATACAGTACAGTAGCTATATTAATAATGAAACACAGAAATAAGCTTAACTATGTATGTACAAATATAATTGCAAAAGTAAATAGCATATTATACAGAAAAAATATGGGTTTGCTAATTTATCAGGTGCGTCGTTTTGTCTTTAATATAGTAGTAAATGTAATTATTGCAATGAACAGGTAGTGTAAAAAGAATCGTGTGAAACGGGAAGAAATTTTAATATTTATTTAGGTGAGCAAAAAATAAGAGAAATCCATAGGTCCACAAATCAACCTACAAAAGCATACTAAGTTAACCTTTACTCTTCTATCAATATATCCAACGAGTGTTGAGATCAAGCTTATGCATGACTGAACATTGATCATTTGGATGATTGTGGACAGATTTTTGGATGAAGTACGTGTAATTTGAAATTGACTTTGTACATGATCTATATGGGAATAGTCAAGCTCTGTAAAAAATTCCGGTTGAACTGGCACATATTTCAAATATAACTTAACAACATAACAGTCAATGGCCTTTGATGAGGCAGTGGACTTCAGTTCTTTGAAAAAGCTCATAATATAGCCTAAAGAATCAGAACTCTACTACATATAAATTCAATATATCAGTGGGGGATCAATCTCTGAGTAAAGGTAACACCTAGACAATTTTGTAAATTAAAAAATTGGTATAACTGATTTTTACATTAAGCCATTTATGGCATATGTGTATCTTATAGAATACTGATATCTAGTAAAAAGATAAAGTATGACAGCTTTCTGTAATAAAAATTTGCAATTTAATTCAATCACGAATCACGAGAATTGAATTCGTTTATTATAGATATATTTTTAACTTCTTAAAAACATTGAATCTTTAGAAAATATAAGTTATTTATAAAGAAATTACAGAATTTTTATGCCGTGAAAAATTTGTTCAATCAAGGGGGATAGGTGCTTATAAGAAGTTACGCCAAAAATATTAGTTTATTTTTGATTTATAATACATAATGGTTTTAATAAAATTGTTGGTTGAGTAATATTATTTGTTAAGAAAAAAAAAACAAGTATATTGGTAATTTCCAATGTAAAATAAAAAATTCTAATGAAAAGTGAKTTTTTACCTAATTATTAACTTCAGACTAACCTGACTTGCATCATCCTCGAAATCATTACAACAACGTTTCATATTGAAGTTGGTTTATGAATAGAAAGTGGTCATAATATAATATCAATTTGCTAACGTTCTTAAACGGTTTTTTTCTAAATTTTTGCTCTTTACAAGATGTATATATCTGCAGGAATATTATAAGTGACTTACGAAAAATATGATGAAATGGATGTTATTTAAGTTTTAAATATTTATTGATCATATTACGTGGATATTTATAAACATATTTATGATATCATATTCAACGATACTCGACCGATGTATTCCACTTATGGATAGTGCCCATACATTACACAACATGACTTCATATTACTTAGTATAATATATAGTGTATGATTATATATCGTATATCATAGTAAACTTAATTCTAGACACAACGCTTATATTATTATATATTATAATATATTTAGTTGGAGATAAACTTTCAGAGAATCACGTGGATACGAGAAAACCACAACCTCTACAAAAAGTTTGGCTACAAGAAATATTATTTCGAGTTGATGAATATTCAATAGTAGATGCCGGTGTTTTGCCGAACACCCATAATTTTTCTATAATAAACTCTATAAAATAATAGATGCAGAGTGAACAATGTATTTGTGCACACATTTTGAGAGAAATAATTATCTTTATATTTGGTGACATTATCTTTGAAACCAGATAATACATCAGTTCTGAAGATAAAAATTCAAAATACATAAATAAATACACGAAATTATCTTTTATAGTCATGTTATTCAATTAACCAGCAATAAAAAAAATACTCGAATTAAGGAAAATATAATTTTTCACTTTGACTATACCATAMCATACCATATATACTCTATTTTATGTTCAATATGTTCTCTATTTTAATACTATATAGGTTATTTAAAAACACACTATATTATATTTTATTTCTGACATTTGCATATGTATTACCTAATAATATAATTTAAAACAAGTCTTTTTCCTACTTTCTTTTTTATTTCAATATAACTAATATTGGATATTTTAGTTATTTTATTTTAATT